AGAGAGAGAGAGAGAGAGAGAGAGAGAGAGAGAGAGAGACAGGGAGAGACAGAGACAGAAAGAGATAGACAGATAGTTTATACCCGGGTACCCATTCTCATCTGGGTGACGTGAGCAAAATTGGCATCAAGTTTAGTGCCCTATCCACAAGACTACAACGTCAGGCCCATAACGGGGATCGAACCCATAACATTTCCGTTTCAAGCCGGACACCCTAACCACTAGACCACCAATGGAGTAATTACCGTGAACGAAGAGTGACAGCCAAAAGTGCAAACCATTTTTCTCAGTGACGTCATCAAGGAGGGCAAAAAAGGCGGTGGTTGGAGGGGTGGGGGGTGGGGGGTTGTGTAATCCCAAAGAACTCAATCCAATCGCGTCATTCTTCAGGCAAGCGAGAGTGTAAATAAAAGGTTTATGACCACCGAGAGGTCATTGCACTAGGCGGATCCGAGACGGGTGAGAATTGTGTTTGATAACTGCGATTAATTCATTCTCTCTCTTTCTCTCTCTCTCTCTTTCTCTCATTGTCTCTCTCTTTGTCTCTCTCTCTCTCTCTCTCTCTCTCTCTCTCTCTCTCTCTCTCTCTCTCTCTCTCTTTCTCTATCTTTCTATCTATCAATATATCGCTATCTACCCTCTCTCTATGTGTCTCTGTCTGTCCCTGTCGGTGCTGCTGTGTATTAGCCTTACTTTTTCTGAGCACTTTATTGTGTCGTTGCAACTCTGAATATAAACAGACACACTTATAGCCTAAGAAATCACACATTTTATAAAGAGACCTTTTGTTCCGTATTTCAACCAGTTCGAGTTGCGAACTTCCCGAAAGGTAGAGGCAAAGATTCCCTACAAGTAGTAGTAGCAAATCTTTGGTAGAGGTGTAAATCCTAGCCTAACATCCTCCCTTTGTCCCCCTCGTATCCTTCTACGAATGTTTTCCTCTCATCGTGAGTTGGGGTGACGGGTGCTGTGGTGCAGTTTTCTCCTTCTTTCTTATCAAACATATATTATTATGTATCTTCCTTATTTCTCCTCCTTTTTTGTCTTTGTTACTCGCTCGTGACTCACCCTTATCTTCGGCACTTATACGACCTTATTGTGTTGCAGGTGCTGTAAAACACTTACTAAAACAAATAAAACTTCTCTCATCCAGGTGTGTTCTCAAGGGAGGGGGGAACGAGTGCTCTGTTTCGTGAAATAACATGCATTGTGTCTTCACACCAACAAACCCCTTCAAAAAAGCCTGCAGAAACCCAAACGATACCAACCCCCAAAACTCAACCAACCCACGAACTAACCAACCAATCAATCGACCAACCAACCAACCAACAAACCAAACCACCCCCAAAAAACATCCACGCACCCCCAAAAAACATCCAACCCCCTAACCAACCAACCAACCAACCAACCCCCTAACCAACCAACCAACCAACCAACAACCAACCTACCAACCAACCAAACGAACAAAGAAACAAAGAAACAAAACATTACAAGTATACAGGTATAATAAAAAACAACAAATCCCCCAAAAGAAGTTACTTTGGGCAAAATGGAAGGTGTTCTTAGTTTAGAGCCAGTGTGCTAGGGGTGTGTGACCAAAGATTTTGTACTAGTGAAGAATCTTTGGTGTGACTGTGTGTGGGTGGTGTATGGGTATGTCTTGAGTGGGGAAGGAAGGTTGGGGTGTGAAGGAATGACTAGAAGACAGGTTGCTAAAGAGGAGTTGATTACAGGAACTTTTCCTCCAAATGGGGGCGTGATTTATTATGTTTATAAAGCATTTCCGTGTTTGGCCTGAGCTGTCTCTCCTCCCCTAACACACAGCTCGGTGTGTAGGTGGTTTGTGAGTGCTCTGGTGTGGTAAGCTCATTCTTTCCTATCAAACTTCTGACGTCCTTATCTCTCCTCCTTTTTTGTGTTTGTTACTCTCTTGTAATACCTCTCATCTTCTGTGCTTATATGAACTAATTGTGTTTGCGAGTGCCGTTAAACTTTTACGAAAACTAAAACAATCCCGGTGTGGCCAAGAAGCGCACGTGGGTGATGGGAAGGCACAAATGGTAGGTCCCACTTCTTTACGTTTCCCCCTGTTGTTTCTGTCTGTTTTACTTTTTTTCCCAGCACTAATATTTAATGACCATTAGGGCCTATTGGGCCTATTTTGTGTCGATGTGCTTCTCTTTACTCAAAGAAACAAACCCACAAAC